TTTTTTACTGAAACATCTGTATCTTTTAATTTAGAGGCTTGGGCCAAGATAGCTCCACTCCCCTTAACCTTGGGAGTTATTCATCCAGCGACTACGCAGCAATACTCGATGCATTTAAGCGAGCTGGTTTTGCGAATGCAACTGTTGGTGTCACAGAATTGCTACCATGTCCACTTGGTACTTTTGTAAATGAAAGTCGTCTAGAATGCGTCGAATGTCCTGCAGGTAAAATGGTCCCTACACACTTCGGCCAATCTAATTTCTCATTTTTCCAACAAAAACGGAAAAAGGAACTAGTACTTATCCTTATCATATTTACATATTTTAAAGTACAGAAAAAAAAATGGAAAAAAGGAAACGGTCAGGGAAATCGATCATTTTTTCATTTTCTAATTTTGAAGTCCGCTTAAAAAATTAAAAAAATACTGTAAACAGCTAAAAGCGATATATTGCTATTTTTTATTTTTTCGGTATAGTTAGAAAAGTGAGAAAATTTAAATAATCTCCGATTCCTAACTCGATTTTCTATCTTTCCGTTTTTCCCAAAAAATAGAAAAACTGAAAAATGAAAGAGAGATATTAATTCGCACCGTTCTTTGTCTTTTTTTTCCATTTTGTTCAAAAAATGAAAAAAAAAAAAAAAATAGAAAAATCGCATACCTATCGCCCTATTTTCCATAATTCCATTTTAATAAGAAAAATGAAAAAATGGCAAGTATTGAATCAGTGGTCTGTTCCGGTAATTCTACATTTGACAAAAAACGCGGATTTCGAAAGTGAGAAATGCCTAAAAATCAAGGTCTTTTTGTGTGTTTTGCACTCAAAACCAAAAAAATGACTTTTTAACTTTCACTCGCCGTTGTGAAAATCTGAGAAAAGTGCTCCCTTTTCTCATAAAAAGCCGGATCTTTTCAGGAGTTTTCTTCGGTATAAAGTGAACCAATTTTCTTGAGTAATAGTTACATCTCACCATAGCTAATCGCAAAAAAGCTGGAAAGAGAAATGTCGCGAGTTTTTTCAGCTTTATGCCTTTTTCTTGAAAAACGAAAAAAGTTGACAGTTGTTTATTTGCAGGCTTTTATTTCATTTTGCCTCTTATGTAGAGCAGTTTAGGACTACTTTTTTAAAATGTTTTTCGTGTCTGTAACCGAGGTAGGTTCAATAAGCCTACCTCTCTAGAGGGTTTCAATTTTTGAGCCACAGATCCATGAACCTGGTAGTGTTGGGCACTTTCTTGTTACTCGCGCAAATGTAAGGTAGTGGTCGCTTTTGATTCACTATCATATGCTCAATTGTGAGAAATTTTTACAGAATTCGCATTGGAAGTATTATTCACTCCTCTTGGCATTTCCTTGTTTTTCGACATAAATTTCCAGCAATTCCAAAATGTACACAAAAAATACACTTTGTTGGTTCATCCCGCGTTTATGATAAGGCTGTAATAAACCAATTATTCCGAAATAATTTTCCCAATATTCTGTTTGAAGTAGTGCAGAATTCTGTCAAAGTGCTTAATATCACTGAAAACAAGGGAAGCTTCGAGGAGGCATGTAATCGGTTGTATTTTTTGTTTTAGATGTACATGGACTTCCATCTCAGGGGGGGGGGGG